AAAAAGAAAGTAACTGCCGGTCACCTTGTCTGCACTGGGGTGGCTTTCTCCAGCCTCGGTGACATCAGATGGATGTTCTTCCTCCACCTATCACCATCTACTCTGCTCTTAAACCACTGACACAGAAAAACTGAGGTCACACACTAAACAACAAGGACTCATCAGTTATTGATCTCAAGAATCGTATTAGTTATCTAAAACCACTTTGGACCTTTGTATTTCCACATTTCCTCTGTATGCACCTTGTAGACTTTTCACATGACATAATGATTTATCACAATGGTATTCTTAAGTTCACTCAGCTTCTTTCACCTAAATAGATCTCTTATAAAGGGAATCGTTATGTGACAGTTTAGTTGTAAACTCTATATGTGGCAAAATTTAGGAGAATAAAGCATTACACGTATCCTATTAACGTTAATTATTTCCTTTGTAGAAACTCTATGACAGTCAAACTTGTAAATGGATTCTGGCAGCAGGACTTACTTTGTTTGCAGGGTGACAGATGGGATTCAGCGTGTGCGTACTAAGTGCACGTGCCCCCGTAAGGTGAGACAAGCTCCCGAGCTGAAATATTAAATAGCGTTAATATAAAAGTATTAGTGACATATTATGAATGATGCAATAACCAGCTAACTTATGTCAAGTGCTACTGTTAGCTAATGTTAGCTACGTAACATCAACATGGCAGTGTGTGTCGTCAGCTCGTATGGACTTATCTACCGGGGTAAATAGATTCCTGATTCTCTGCGGTGTCACCATGATGAGCTGTGTGTTCGCCAGGCGACATATCTGCGAATAAATACAAGACGTTTTAATGAGGGAAAGCATAGTTCACCGCTGTCCTATGTGACTTCGTCTGTTCCTGCCTCTTCTTCTTCGTGTTAATGACTAGCCGCAAACTGACGTTCAATGTCCATACTGCCACCTACTGGATGGGAGTGTGTGCGTCAGAAAACGTGAGCGATTCTTCTGATGTTGTATGGCAGAGCAGTAAAAAAATAAAACAAATGTAAGCTCAGGCACATATTCCCATATTAATTAATGCCAGAACTGGTTTTGTTTCACCTCATGACATAAAATAGATGAAAACTGGTTAATCACTTTAATCCTAAATTTGAGAAAAATTTATATATAAAAAATATATTTCATAGAGAATCAAATTATAATTTAAAGGTCCAGTGTGTAGGGTTTAGGGGGATATATTGACAGAAATAAAATATTATATATTAATTACATTTTCTTCAGTGTATAATCAGCTGAAAATAAGAATTGTGTTTTCGTTACCTTGAATGAGCTGTTTATATTTACATTGGCAGCAGGTCCTCATCCACAGAGTCTGCCATGCTGCATCACCATGTTTCTACAGTAGCCAAGAATGTACAAACTAAACGCTGGCTCTAGATAGGGACATTTGCAATTTTTGCATTGGCCACTGTAGTTAGCAGCCCTTCTGCAATGAGCCAAATAGCATATTAAAAACGCCAATATTTAACGAGAAACTGTCTTATTCAGTGATCGTACAAGTTTTAATTATTGGATATGTTTGTTTTGGAGAGATAGAAACCTCTGCGAATAATTCAGCTCCCAGTAAAAACCCCTTCTAGATTTTAAGTTATTAGAGCAATTACACCCCACCCTTGGGCAGCCCTATAGAGTGAACAAAACTTCACCATTGGCCCACAGTAACCATAATACTCCTTGAAAACAACCAAATCCATGGGATTTATTAAAAAAATCGAGCAAACAAGGCAATAAAAGCCCAGGCAGCAGGACCAGCAGTCCCCACACTGCAGGCCTCTCTCCTCTGCTGCTGGCACAGAAGCTCTTAATCATCTCCTCTTCATGCCAGGTGCAATGCACCTAGGCAGATCTGTAACAAAGGGAAAGGGACAGCAGCACAGAACACATACAGCTGTAACAGAGGTGAGCACATATTAAGTATTTAGAGAAAAGGGCAAACACACATTAGCATTTTGTATAATTTGATACATTTCTAACAAGACACTTTCTTTGTGCCCATTTCTCACACCGTGAATGTGGAATCATCTCACTGACAGTCTGAGCATTCTCAGCATGAATTAATTATTGCAGGGCTACCTTAAAAGTGGCTTTTACATTGTGTCTATGCCCTCCTTCTGAATACTGAGTGCTGCTCATCTCACTGTTTCGCCTTTTCTTTCCTCAGACACAACATGCATTCTGTTTATTTAACTACCTACATTGATGCTTTAATAAATGAAGCAAAGTCCAAGACATTTTGTGATTACAGAGCATTTTATGTACTGTGTTATGCCAACCATGCTCAGACAATTTCTCCATTGTGTCATCATTAAAAATATGTATCAGTCTCATAAATGGGACAATTTAAGATCATTTAGCAGTACATTTGAACATCCTGTTCACTCCTCTACATTCCTTACATCCTCAATAACTCACAAAGAGCTACATACATGTGTTCATGTCACAAGTGCTAATTCATATAACTATTGTGTTACCAGGAGAGTAGAAATGTGTCTGTTAACCCCTGCCAGCTCTTCTATCCTAAATGCAGAGCAGCTCACTGTTTACATTATTCATGACTCTGCAGCCATCCTACCAGGGGTTAGCCAATCAGTCCACTCACAACTGGTGAGATGTGTTGGGCTCTCTTCTCATTGGCTGGCAGCTTCTCTGGTGAGGGCCTAGCACTGAGGGATCAGTGGAGGATTTCTGACTGAGACCTCTGCTGAGGTGATCCATTGGACAGGATGTGGGGAAAAGGGAAGAAAGTTAAAGCCATGTAATCTCATTAGAAGGGAAACTTTCACTGATCTGCAGTTGTCATTCATCAATGAGACTGATCTGTGCTAAAGATGTGTTCCTGAGTTCAACAGGGTGACTGCAGGTCTCATTGCAGGGCACAGTACTTATTTAGGCCAAATTAACCTTACAGAGTTTCATTTCTGCAGACCATTTTCCATGGTATACTATAGTGCACACTAATATTTAACACGCTTCCACTTTCAGGCAGCTATAAGCCATTAGTTATACTACTTAAATAAGTGCATACTAATTCTAAAAGTCACAACCACACAATGATAATTTAAGTTTGACAAATGTGCACATAAATTATGTGTCATTTAGTAAATTACTTAAAACATGCAAAATACTGATTTAAAGGAAAATATGAACTGAGCATAACTAATGGGAGTTGTTAAAACTATGAATAGGAACAAAAGAAGCACCAGAGAATTAACTGTTGAGTAGAAACACATTAACCATGAGAGGGGCCAGACATAAACTGTGGCACTCAGTGGGCTCCCCATGCCCCACTCTTTCATTGTATATGTGTTAGTAAGTAATTCATTTGTGTTAATTTGCAAAAATACATTTAGGACTTTCTTTTAAGGAACACACTGTTAAGAAATACATTTTTGGGTAATAAATCTGATTATGCAAATACAATTCTGCAATGCAGCATGTAAGTCCAAACATAATAACTGAAAATAATAAATCAATCATTGTTATTATTACATACTTATGATCAGTTGCATAAGGTAGTTACAACGGGCCCCAGTGCACGCTATCATGACAGGCCAAAGATACCTAATTACTAGTTATGTGCTTAAAGCTACCATATTATCTTATCATCACATGATCAGATAGAGATCATATATATGACAAAAATATCAATGGAAATAAGGGATTGCTCATTTATTGTATAGTTTTATAGTTTATGGAGAGTAGGCATATATTTTGTAACATTTTATTATAGATTGCTACTGGATATTTTACAAAACAAGAAAAGAAAAACATGATGGAGATGGGTCTGCACATATAGCAAATGGCAAATGGAGTTTTTCTTTAAACACAGGCATATTTCTGAGGTAGCATTTTGAATTATTCACAAAGGGCCTGTTTTCTGCCCAACATACAGTTAGCATTCCCTACATTTCTATATTCATTTCAGGACAACAGTAACCAATAAAAATCCAGGAAATAATTAAGTTGGTCATCATGCAATGCTAGGATAAACCTCTGTGGCATTTTTACGGAGTATGTAAGAGTAAAATCAGCAGCTCACTGCACATTCTCAGCCAGAATCTGACAGCTGGACAGACAGTAGCTTTTTAAGCACAAACAGGATTTGATTGCATAGCCTGCTCTGTGAATCGAATTTGAGTCTCCTGAATCTACTTTTTCGAAAATCTGGTGCCAGAAGCACAAACCATGTTTAAGTTTTCTCCATAAGTATGTATGATTTTTTTCCTAAGCTGAGGGACTTACTGGGTGTTGCACAGAAACCCTGAGAAGGTTTCCTTAGTTATGTAAAAATGTTAAGGCATTTACAGCAGTGAAATATTCTACAGTGGTGAAATACTAAGGTTTTCATGATAGCTATTTGTTTGCTTATGCTCAAGCTTATGATACCTTTAGTCTATTGTGCAATGGTTTAACTAACTTTAAGGGATTCCTTAAGTATAAGACCAAGATAAGGAGAAAATCTTAAATACTTAAATGAACATTTTAAGGAAACCTGAGGGAGAGGATGTGTTTTGTGCAACTGATTTTATTTTAAGAAAGCCTTACCATGGACTTAAAGGAAAATCTTACCTTAAGGTGTTTTGTGCAACTGGCCCCAGAAACTTAAAATTTGGGATCTTAATTTGTGAACACTGAATAAAATACTGAGTTTCAGCTTTTGGAATTGCGAATGAAGAAATTTCATATTTAAGTTTCAAAGAGGTGAATTCAGAAATAAGTTAATCTTCAGTGTAAAAAATGTCAATGCTTTGAATTTGGTGGTTTTTCAATTTCAATATTAGGTTATTCAGCGACTGTTAAAACTCAAATAAATATCTTATATTTGCATCCATAGAGACGGATTAATTGCTGACATGAACGTTAGCTCTTCAGTGTCAAGGCCAGTAGTGCATTTACTGTTAGGCTATTATAAAGTCCATACTTCACCTCATGTGCAATTCATGACAAAGCATTAATCAAAACAGTACAATGTGTCATTGTAAAATCTGTTTGTATTTATTACAAAATATATCCAAAATATTTGCCATCCCCTGGTGCAACAGGAAGACTCACTGTAATTGAATTCATTTTACCCACATCTGCAGTACCTTACATTGCATTTTGAAGCATCAATATGCTTTGAATTTGCAATTTAAAGTGCATTAGCATGCACTTTAAATTGCAGACTGATTGGAAAAGTCACTCTATCACTGCACAGTGACACCATAACCTGGTCTGAACTGTGTGGATTCGAGAACACACACATATCTGTAGTAAAAACTGTTGATAAAAAGTTATTTTCTTTGGTACTGGACATGCAGAGCAGAGGTGAGTTAGGCCATTAGATTTGTTTCTGTATGGTAATAATATGGTATAAACCCAATGGGAATGCGCTAATAATTTGTTTCATGGTTACATCAGCAGTACAGGCACCTGAAGCCTTGTTTATTTATCCTCAACCCGAGCTCAGCCTTTAGGTGAGCCTTGAAATCTTCAAGTGCCTCTTGGATCCACATATTCAATCATTCATACATTCATTGATTCACTCCTGATGTCAGTCATGGTTAATCTTTCTGTCTTGTTGTGGTTGAGCCAGGACTGGAGTCTGCTTTGCAGTACTGCTGAACTGTGTGGGCTGATTGACACTGTGTCCCTGTTAGCTTCACAAAGCACCCCAATGAAGACATCAAATGATGCAGAATCAGTCGCAAGCAGCATTGTACTTAAGTTGCCGTGCGCAGTCACACATTCAACATTTACTGTATCTGTATTAACAATGCTCCATTTGGCAACAGGACAGCAGAAATTTTCATTTAAATTCAAAATGTCTGTTTCCCAAAACTCTGACAGCATTCCCAAATGTGGAAATAAATGAAGTTAAGTGCTCCTAGCCAGCCCCATAAAACACAGACAGATACAGAAAATGAATATACTCCCACTGATTAGCTCTTCCTATCCAGCATAGAGATTGGTCAAAAGACACTCCAGTGTCTCTTAGAAAGCACTTGGAAGACGTGTGAGGTCTGCTTTCTCAACAAATGATTAGTCCCTTTCATAATGTCCATATTTCCTGGGTTCACCCCTCCGTCCAGTCACCTGGGCTCACTGAAGGAGGCAGGGCTGCTCTCAGGCTCTCAGGAGGCTTTCTTGGTGCATGTTCCTGGAGTCTCATGTAGGTTCACCTTGGATCTGCAGGAGGAACAGAGTCCATCACCCTTTGTATGTCAAATCAAACTTAATTGCTAGAAACATGTTGGCACTGTGCGTTCCTGCAAACCATGGATATTTTACATTTGCATGTTATGTACAGTAGGTGATACATTGGAAAGGCTGTGGTTAAAATGGTCAGCTTTAGACACAAAAAAACACTTTGTTATGGTTGATAAAAGACAGCCCATTCTCATTCTGAACTTGTCAAATACTGCTGCTTTCAGTGATTTCAGAGTCAGATACCGACATACAAAGTCACCTTTCGCAGCATTATGGTATGCTGCTGGGTGGTATCAGTTTCTAACGCTGCTGAGTGGCAACAGCTTGTAACAGCGACAACGTAATATAAAGAGCTAGAAAGTCCTTATGGGGGGAGGGGATGGGTCCAATAGACCCCAGACTTTTACCCAGGAGCCCGCTGTTCACTTCACATGTGAGTTTTAAGCCATTTAAGCCACCTGTTGCAACCGCACCCCAATTCCCTACCACTAACTGCCCACCCAATATCTCCCTCTCCCTTTTCTCTCTGAAAGTTGACAACTTAATGCAACTATGTGCAAAATTGGCCCAATACTGATTTGCTGAAAAACTGGCTCACAGACAGAGGTTCCTTGCTCTTACCTGTTGTGCGTCATGTGGCTCTTTACCAGGTGGCCGGCAGCCAAAGCAGCCATCAGTGAGAGCTCTCCAGCCAGCACGGTGGCACACACAACCCTGGCCAGCTGCCGTGCGTTCTCCCCTGGACAGTCCTGACTGGCTCCCTGTACACCCAGCATCTGCACACACACACAAACACACACACACACAAATTATTGATTATCTGATAAGCCCAATTCAGACCAAAGATTTGAGACGAGATGAGTTGAAACAGGCAACTAATTGCAATGTGCCGCTCTGCAACATTCTAAAAACCTGCCGGTTCACACCAATGCAACTACGTGAGACAGTGTATCATCTCGATGCAACAACTCTGTACTTCGGTTCTGATTTCCAGCTTATCAGGTTTATTTTGAGGCTGAATATAATTTGTAGCTTCTTAAAATAAGAATGAAGACAGTGATAGTGAGATACTGGCTAAAGTTACATTTTTAGTAGTGATGAAACAGCGGAAAAGAAACTGAAACAAAACAAGCACCACAATACACCACAATAATATAAATAAGCACATACAGCAAGTAGCAGTAGCAACCCACCGTCCAACACACACCATGAGACTGGAAACAGAGGGCTTGGTGGGGACAAAGCGCCTGCCGCAGCAAGCGAACATACCATCTGTGGTTATTTTGACTTGACCAACGGACTTTACCACAAGCTGATCGGCTGTTAAAACAGGTGATGTGTTTTACGTTCTAAAACCAGCCGCCGGTGATTTGACCAGCTGAGATGCAGGTGACATCATCAGGCTGTCCTACTGCTGCAACTTTTCTCTGCAACGTTCTTAAACGGTTTGTCTCATTGGGAATCTTTGGTCTGAACTGGGCTTTAAATATGTTGTGAGCCACCAAGCTTAGCAGAATTATCATTGATTACATTCATTCTAACAGGACTTCTTGCCAGATATGTGTTCATATGACATCCAACGAAAATGCATGCTCAACAACTGGTATGATATCCTACGAATTTATGCCCCACGAATGACGTTACCTCCTTAACGTACAGTTACATAACTGACATAAAATTAGGGAGGACAGGTTTTGGCAATGAAAGTTACTGAGGTGAGGTTTAAGAAAAGAAACGTGGTGAGGACATACCTTAAAATGACTCAAAGTTTACTTAACGTTGTGACAACCCAGACAATTTTCCCTGGACCCACCGGAAACTCTCGCTACTCGCGGGGGAAAAAAAACTATATCTGGGGAGTCAAAAAGAGAGAGACGGCAGAGCAGTGGGCCGGTCGTGAGAGCATCAGGGCTCTGTGTGCAGAACAGACAGAGAGAAATAACGTACCTCTCGTTGGCCACAATTGCCACAACCGACATCAATACTCACCTCCTCACGCCATAGATCCTCTCATCTGGACACACACGTGGAACAAAGTACTACGATCAGCTGATCCGGTCACATTCATTCACCCTCCCGGAAAAACCCACAAAGCCTACACAGCCCGCAGCTCACGCACACACACTGACGGAAACTGTAAGTAGGAAGACGGGTTTTTTTTTTTTACTTTATTGACTGATTTTCTTTTGACAAAACGAACTGAATTGAAAAACAAACTGATTTATTTTTTTGTTTTGTAAAACTAAAAGGAACTGAACTGAAAAGTGAATTGATTTATTTTTGGTTTTGAAGAGGAATTGCTTATTTCTGAGTTGAACTGCCTATTTTATTTTGCTTCGTTTACTTTATTGAAAAGAAAGTCAAAACTAAGAGACATTTTGTTGTGGTTTTCCCTGTTGCTTCCAATACAAACTTTTTATCTGTATATGTCAATGTGGTATATTTAATTTAAAAAAGGGTGTAATCTCTAGTAAGGTTTCGTCCTTGTGTGGGGTTTGTACTGACTAAAAACAAAATCTTACATTCCAGGAGAGAGACCTGGCTGGCACCCCAGTCAACTAAAAATAAACACAAACCATCACAAAGTTTACACGCATTCGAACATGCATATCCAGGAGAAAGTCCCAGGCTAAAGTCTTGTTTTTTGTGGCCCATCCACCACTCCAACCTGCCTTCTTAAAGCACTCCAGACTGCTTCCTTGTTTAGTGCCATCAGCACATTGGTCACGTGATCGCAGCCTTTCAAGATACGTGGGATATGTACGAATTTGTGTGCATTGCTTTACATAGGGAAACATACGAAAAATTTGTGAGAACAGCCTGGTGTGTGTGTGTACCTGGAGGCAGGCTTGCTGGGGGGGCAGGTTGGTGCCTCCTCCTACAGTGCCCAGCTCTATGGAAGGCATGGTGCAGCTGATGTACAGGTCCTCTCCTGTTGGTCCTGATGCCTCCATCAGGGTTATGCAGTTACTGCTGCCTACTGACTGGGCAGGATCCTGGCAGACACAAACAGCCACTTACATTAACACAACAAATACAAGAATACATTGAAATAAACACATGCACAATATTTTCTCAGAACTCCTTTACCTGTCCACAGGCTATGTAGATGGCAGCCACCAGGTTGGCTGCATGTGCGTTAAATCCACCGATGCTGCCTGCCATGGCAGAGCCCACCAGGTTCTTACTGATGTTCACCTCCACCAAGGCTTCTGTTGTTGTTTTCAACACCTGCAGCACAGCAACAAGGAGTGAACATTAATTTGCTGGTATAGAGTAAATATGAGATTGGATGATTCTCATTAATAGAGCACAACATCGTATAAAACATCATGGTAAACGGATTGGATGGACCTGCACTTGTATAGCACCTTTCGAGCCTTCCAACCATTCAAAGTGCTTTTTCCACTACAAGTCACATTCACCCATTCACACACACATTCATTCACTGGTGGCCAAAGCTACTGTACAAGGTGCCACCTGCTATACAGCTTTATCACATTCACACACCGATGGAACAGCCATTGGGAGCAATTTGGGGTCTAATATCTTGCTCAAGAATACTTCAACGTGGAGTGGGGGAGGCGGGGATCAAACGGCTGACCTTCCCATTAGTGGATGACCCACTCCACCTTCTGAGCCACAACATTTTTTTATTTACACTAAGAGATTTTGATATTGAATCTAGATTTACCATTTATTATCTCCTTCTGTGTGTTTTTGTAATGTTTAATTCAATATTTGTAAGACAGATTAAAGTATTTCACTGAAGAACCATTGGACAAGAGTTAATTTCCCATGTTTTTTCAACTTCTTACACAATACAAAGACAGTAAGATCAGCTAAAAATTTCCCTGTAACAGTGTCCCTGCTCATTCTGTGATTGACAAGCAGTATATTAAAGCTCATTACAAACTGTCCTGCCTGTCTTCTGTGTTGCTGATGGGTTCAATCCACATCCATTACAGCACATATACTATACATGTCTACTTGTTATTGTATCAACTTCACTACACTCCTTCAATATTTGTCTGAAGGATTAGCTCAGGGCGTAGTGAATTAGTGCTGGTTAAGCGAACAAGGGAGCAACAGTTACAGTGGAAGTGCTCAGAGGAGAAACTAGCAGAAAACTTTTCAAATGTTCACGAATAAATACAGCAGCTCCTCAAGTTAAGTTTCCATGTTGTGCTTCTCAATGTAGGTTGGCTCGTTCACATATGAACGTGCACTTATGCAGTACCCTACCACTCCACAAAATAGGGCTCCACTGAAAAGCCACAGTGTAATTCTAACAATGGAATTTACCAATGGTGGAAAAAGTACTCAAATGTTTTACTGAAGTAAAAGCAGTAATACCACATTTTAAAAAAAATACTGTTACAAGTAAAAGTCCCGCATTCAAAATCTTACTAAGTAAAAGCACGTCAGTATTAGAATTAAAATATACTTTAAGTACCAAAAGTAAAAGTTCTCATTATGCAGAATGACTCATTTAAGAGTAATATATTATTGGATTATAATTACTGTAACATTTATGTGTTCATCACTTTAATGTTGCAGCTGGTAAAGGTGTATATGCTATATGGAACATTAAATGTCATTATTCTTTACGTTAAATGATGTCTGATCTAAATATTATTCCCACATTTAGAACATCGATTTCCAAAGTGGCAGATAAAATTTCTGAGTGGCAGACAGAAAGAAAACGTCCTTCCTTCCACAGAGGCAGGTAGTGAAAAACATTTTTGACCCTGTTCAGGAGTCTGAATTAGTCAAATCAAGTGAGTATCTCCCAAAGTCTTTGAGACAGAATTCCTGAAATGTTCCCCTGCTGAGCTGTAACCTAGTAACACAAAGAAGGAATTTTGTACTAACAAACTGTAATTTGGGGGATGCTGTGTTTTAAATGTTCTAATGTACTTTTGTATTTATGTAAAGCACTTTCAAATTTGGAAGATCCTAAACAAATATAGGGTAAATTTGAATCCTGTTTCCTAATAGCTACTGCAGGGAACCAGCATCCACTGTTACAACTCACTGAAAATTGTACCACAACTACAGTCTAAGATTTTGATGGGCTAATAGCAGTATCCTTTCTTAAGTGTGTCCATTTACAACTTTTAAGTCTCCTTTACTATAGATTCTGTTACACTTCCATCTATTGACAAAAGGCCACCAGTTGAAATCAATTATTTCAACTATTTCAGGGTGTTTTCAGTTCATGAAAGTTAATATTAACATTTTAGTCACGTGAAACTGGCTTGTTCAGCATTTGGTTATACTAAAGGACCCTCTATGATGAAGTTTTAAGTTTTTCTGGTAAGTTTGTTTTGTTTTAATGGTTTTAAGCCTGTTCTTTAGAGCACTAGCATTAACATGGACCGCAACTACACTGTGCTCACAAAGCTAGCAGCTAGTGTTATCTTCACCCTCTCGTCCAAATATGGTCACTTCTGATTCTAAACTAGAATTACTGCCAATTGTATGCCTCCACGCACCAGTCAAGATTCTCTTACAGTTTACATCCATATCTGTGAAAACATGGATGCTTCACATACATCTTCTCCCTGATAACACATAAGATCTATACAATCAGGTCACACTGACCTTGACTTGCTGACCCTAAACCATAAAATTCTAATCAGTTTATTCTTCAGTCCAAGTTGACTTTTGTGTCAAATTTTTAACAAACACCCTTTAGGTGTTCTTGAGATATCGCATTTACAAGAATGAGACAGATGCAAGGTCATATTGACCTTGAACTTTGACCATCAAAATCCAATCAGTTCATTGTTGAGTCCAAGTGAGCATAAGTTTGATGAAATTCCCTCAAGGTGTTCTTGAGACATTGCATTCACAAGAATGAGACAGACAAGGTCACAGTGACCTTGACCTTTGACCCATGACCACCAAAATCTAATCAGTTCATTGCTGATTCATGGACATTTTTGCAAAATTTTTAAGAATTTCACTCAAGCTGATCTTAAAATATCGCATTCACTAGAATATGATGAATGGCGACCTTGACCTTTGACCACCAAAATCTCATCATATCATATCCTTGAGTCCAAGTTATTGTTTGTGCCAAATTGAAAGAAATTCCCTCAAGGCATTCTTGAGATATTGCATTCACAAGAATGGGACTGACAGACAGACAATATGAAAACATAATTTCTCTGGCCACAGCTGTCACTGGCGCAGAGGCATAAAAATCCAAGATGGCGACAGTCTAAATGCCGAAATCAAGTTAAGTTTAAGTTTATTTACTTTATTAATCCCCCTGAGGGGAAATTCAATGTTTTCATTCTTGCTTGTCAATTACACACAGGTCCGAAAGACACACACATGCACAAACAGGACCTATACATGCACAAAGTGGAGAGATGTCAGAGTGAGGGGGCTGCCCTTGGTGAGGCGCCCCGAGCAGCTGGGGGGTTTGGTGCCTTGCTCAAGGGCACCTCGGCAGTGCCCAGGAGGTGAACTGGCACCTCTCCGCCACCAGTCCACACTCCATATTTTGGTCCGGACGGGGACTCGAACAGGCGACCCTCCGGTTCCCAACCCAAGTCCCTATGGACTGAGCTACTGCCGCCCAAATGTGTCTTCAAAATGGGAGCCCATAAACCAGTGGGTGACATCACATTGGATATGTCCATTATTTTTTCCATTTATGGTTTAGTTTGTTTAAATCCAGCAAAGACATCAGTAAGCTGCACTCTCAATGCTAGTTCTCCTACCTCTCTGACCACTTTAGCTGGGATGGTAGCTTCACAGACAGCAGACTTGCCCCTGCCTTCGATCCAGTTGATGGCAGCTGGTTTCTTGTCGGTACAGTAGTTCCCACTGACAGCCACCACCTGAAGTTCTGGGAAGTTCTGCTGCAGTCTGTTCAGGGCCTGCTCTGTACCCTGCAGGTACACCACTTATCATTTAAACAAGGCCCTGAAGGATGTAAGGAATAAATCTCTACTCACACACACACACAGTTATAAAACAGTTACCTTAGAGATCATGTTCATCCCCATGGCATCTCCAGTCTTGGAATGGAAGCGGATGTAGAGATTTCTCCCAGCAAGACCAACCAGCAGCTTCTCTAGCCGAGCAAACCTGCCAACAGTGACCACAGCCTCATTCATACAGAAACAACATGTATACACACACAACAAACATTTAGCAAATACTTTGAATTCTAGTTCTTTCCATGTCAGGCTTCATGTTTTACCTGCTGGTGTTGTCGAAGGCCTCCTTGATGGCCTGAAATCCATCGGTGCTCTCCAGCCAGGCCTTGACCTCAGCAGCCTGACAGGCAGAAGGCAGCCTCACCACAGGTCCACGAGTCATGCTGTCACCCAGGATACGACAGCTGGCTCCGCCTCCCAGCTACAACACAGTTCAGATACAGAACATATTAACACTCACATAACATATTTTTGAGAAATCACAATTATAAAGCAGCTACTGTTTTTTATGCTTATGATTTTTCAGAGTTCTGCACTGCTAGTACTCTAAAACAATAACAGTGACTAAAATAAGCCAAAGTCAGAAGTCAGATGTGAATAAAAGGAGCCTCATCACCACCACCTCTCTCACTGTATGTGTTAGATTTAAAGCAGGATCAGAAAGTATGAATATGGATGGATATTCATCATTCTTATGTTGCTAACTGTTTCAGTTATTTTGTCCACTCTGGTACTTGTCCTGTAGGACCCTATCACACATATCTGACACTCACAGCAATTGCTCTACAGCCACGGTTGGTGCTGGCAACCAAGCAGCCCTCAGTTGTTGCCATGGGAACCTGGAACTGCTTCCCATCCAGGTGCAGTGGTCCGGCAACACCTACTGGTACAGGCATGTAACCAATCACATTCTCACAGCAGGCGCCCATAACCTGGAAAACAGTAACACAGAAATGCTGACAACTTAGTAAAAGAGGAAGTAGAGGGTCACAGGGAGCATGGCAGTTTGTCTTGTGTGTGTAGCTCTTTACCTTGGAGTAATCGTAGTCAGTGTATGGCAGGGAGGAGAGTGCAGAAGGAGAGGGAAGTTTGGCAGATATCATCTGTCTTCGTATGGCCACACCTCTCTCTGGTCTCTCCATCATGGCCTCCAGTTTGTATGCAGGTATGTGTTTGGAGTTGACCAACCGCAGCACCTCAGCATCGCTCAGGAAACGAGCCCCCAGCTGCATCAGACACCATCAAGCAGTGACTTATTATTTACTGTGTCGTCTGGTCAGACCAGTGAATCCGCTACAAAAATTCACTCAAGATTAGAAGAAATGGATTGTGGTTATTATTTACACTAATACATTATAGATTCTTACACACTGCTTAGTATTTTCAACAGAAATATGTTTACAGCCATTTGCTGGAAGGTATAGTGATACCTGTTACTATGGATATAATTTAATATCTGTGTCAATCCAATAGGCAGTTATTTCCATACCAACATAATCTTGACTCATTGCAGGCAACATCTTTGTTCTGGCTGTAGACTGAAAGTAATCATCAACTGCCATGATAGCTGTGTATCAAGCTCAGCATTAATTTAAAGGGACAGTTCACCCCAAAAATCAAAAATACATATTTTTCCTCTTACCAATCTATAATTATCTATTATCAATCGAGACTGTTTTCTTGTTGTGTTCACACCAAACGCAACCCAAGTATTTGCGTCATGTTACTGGTGCAAGTTTGAATGTGAGAATATTTTTTGTTGACTCACTTCATACGCTTGAATAACTTGCAACATATGTGCATGAAATCTGTCTGGGCTGAAGTCTGAGCTCCTCATTATTCCTGTTTCTATAAAAGTAGCACATGGTGTCATAAACCTCGGGGTAGCCACAGACCGACACGACATGGCTATTACAGCACGACTCTGTCGCTGAAGTTCAGAATTTTCAACTCTTGCGAATAAGCGTGTGATGCGAAATCACGTCCAGCAGGAATTTGCATCTAATCACATCTTTACATTGACATGTTATTCACTTGCTCATATGTTATATTTGTGCCCAGTGTAACCACAAGATTAGCGTGAGGTGCCAAGTATTGGAGACATAGGCTGCCTTTTCTCTAAGATAATGGAACTAGATAGCACTCAGCTTGTGCGCTCATTAAAATCCATTTAAAAAAACTCAACAGCAATGTCTTACTCCAGAAATCATGACCCGGTTACTCAAGATTATCGACAGACCTCGTCATGAGTGGATTTTAAGACAATGGGTCCCTGGGCACAGACAAGCAGATGGCACCACCATCTCTTCAACATGCATAGGAACAAGACACAGTTCTTGTGATAGTTTTGCCCCTTTTTTGTTGTTGTTTTGTGTCTCTTTGTAGTCTTGTTGTGTATTTTTGAGGTAATTTGTGTAATCTGTGGTCATTTTGAGTCTCTTTCTTCTTGTTTAATGTCTCTTTGACACATTTTGTTTTTTTTGGTGTTTTTGTGTTTGCAGTTGTTTTACCCCTTTTTGTAGTTATTTTGTGTCTATTTCTAATGCATCTCCTTATGGTCGTTTTATGTCTTTTTGTGATCATATTAACCTGCTGGTCAGTAGGTGTTAATGTGAGTGACATTTTGTAGGTGAAGTCCAGGGAGGCCTGGGGCCGCGTGCCTGTGCCTGGTAGGCCCGTTCAATAACCCATCCATGGTTGTGAGGAGTTTCACGTACAAACACTTTTCTTTCTACCAAACCACAACTGCAAACCATGTCACCATGCAACTCCTGCTAGCTCACCTAGCACCACTGAGCTAGCCAATGTTACAGCTCAGCCAAGGAGGACACCATCAATGTTTACATCTCATGCTGTCACAAGCATGAGCCTCTTGTCCACGAGTAGATGCACACGTCATTCTGCACGGTGATACCGTTGGTGGGTGTAGGTTGGTAGAAAGAAAATTTTTCAACAGCTCACAACAGGGTCTGTGGATTATCTTGAGTAACTGAGTCACGCTATTCAGTTTTTCAAATTGATTTTTTTGGCGCTTTGAGCACCACAAGCCGAGTGCCATCTAGTTCCATAATACTGAAGAGAAAGCAGATACCTCTGCAGCCGATATCTCCAACATTCGGCAACTCACAACAAAACAATCTAGACTGATTAATAGCACTACAGGTAAGAGGAAAAATATGTGTTTTTGATTATGGTGTGAGCTGTCCCTTTAGGTGTGACCAGCTTAATGACTCTGCTTCTCATAATGTTAAAATTCCATTTCTGTGCTCACATTATTTTCATTTGAAATATTCTTATCTCCCATGTCTTACTCTCCAGTGCAGTGTGGGAGATCTAATTTGCAATGAAACCCCACCTACATGTGATGTGCACCAATATGTCTTCTCTGAGAAAGTGGAGCGCTAAGTAGATGTGATGCCACACAAAGCCAAAGGAATCAGTGCAAGTGTCTTTACTACTGGCGTCATGCTCTAATTGGTTCAGCCTCAAAGAAAGAGTGCAGTAACTAAGCTCATTACAACACAGTTAAATCACACAACCGCCTCAAACCCTGCAGACATTTTAGTGGGATACGGCTTTATGATGGAAACAGACACCTTGTGGAGCTGGGAGGTGGGCCGAGTGATGTAACCATTCATCTACCTGAGAGATTAGCAGCAGTGCTTAATTTGTAAAATTAGAAGTAGGGGAACACTTTGGGCCTCTGAAAGAGCAGTGTTCCCCCACTCCCAAAACTTTTTTAAGCGGCACCCGAGCCGCCTCACTGCGAGACTCCGAATGGAATGGTTGTGACATCTAGTGTTGTCACTGTACCAAAATTGGGACCCACAGTACGATACCAGTGAAAGTATCATGGTTCTGAGTAGTATCACAATACCACAGCAAAAATGAGGCAGATGTTCCTTTTGTCATTTATAAAAAGATAAATCACTTTTGTATAATACATCACTGATATTTCAATGGAATAAATTACTTACTGACTTATTCATACTTCAAAAACAGCATCAATAAGTGATTAACATAGGGGTGGATCAAAATAAAATAAATAAATAAAATAAAAATCAACCAGCCACCCTCCTCCCCTGACAAGTAAAGAACAGTCCCTTCATAAGTAAAGAACAGTCCCTAAAGTGTGGTGAGGTTTGTGGGCCGTTACCTGCCACAAAGAGAGAAATGTGAACGGCTCGTTTCTCTTCTGACACACTACATACCTGTGTGCCGCCATGGCTCAGTTGTCCAGGTACTACTGGGCAGTCATGACACCAAGAAGAGGAAATTACTGGACCTGGAGTCGGACTCGTCGGTAAGCCGTTATGTTGCGGCGCGGAGCACTATGAGCCTTCGCCGTATTTGACCGCCGTATCCTGTCTGTGACCCCTGTTCATCCCACAACCGGCAGGATTTGATTTTCCTTTCTGCTGCTGGTTAAAATCTGTACTTGCACAGCCTGCTGAATGATTTAATTTGCGCGCACAAAACTATTTTTAGTCGCAAATGCGAGTAAAATGCTTGCACGTAGAGCTCTGTAGAAAACAAATCACTGCCGACAAGTAAAAATAAATAAATAATAACTTTCACTGCTCAAAGATACTCACATGCCTGGAAAACAAACCACTACAGCAGCATGTTGAGTGCCAGGTGGCCGGCGCGTTCCGTTATTGACCAGCGCAGCGGACGGCGCATGGACACTCACTGTCTTGTGATTGGACTTTGAACTTTCATATGTAGGCTACTGTGGAGTTTTAGTACCGCGGTCGACCATTACCAGTATACCCCGCAACACTAGTGACATCAGCCAATACTGTATGTAGTTTTTAGATGCAAAAAGTTCTAGACCCCTGCAAATTAGTTCCGGAACGTACCAGGGCCTTTTCTAAAAAGATCCTGGTACGCGTTCCAGTACGTTACGGCTCAAATTAAGCACTGGTTAGCAGACTTATCAGCTGTGAAAGGCAGGCTTGTGTGAAATGTCATACCTCAGGGTTGTTGAGGATGGCCACACATTCATCCACTTCTCTGGGCTTTGTTGGGATGCTCAGCTGATCAGTCTCAGACTTGAACCCCTCCTCTTCCTCCCCTACGATAAAGAGGCTCTTTGGCTGAGGATCAGCCACCGGGGCAGACAGGGGCCGGATAACCTCATCTAGGGAAACAAGGCGTAGTTTGATACCACAGTGCTACACAAGTCCATCTGCTACAGCATCATCACACAGAACACAGACACACCTCTCTCTGCCTGGTTGGCAGGTGCCGGGGCAGCCACGCTCTGGGCAGGGGGGAACGGTCGTGGAGCACATGGCTCCTTCCTGCAGCAGGTCTCAGTGGGCCTTCGTGGGGTCAGGGCAGGGGCAGACATAGTGATGGGGTTCTTCAACGACAGCGTAGACTCCATCTCAACCTGCTCAAAGAAGATGTATTTGATAGCCAGCAGCAGGGCCAAGGCCAGACAGATCACCTGCTCTATGTCCATAGTTATCATTCTGCAGGGAGAGAGGCACAATAACATGTAGTACAAGTATTAGTATTGATTTTAGGCCTTGGTTAACAATTGTTCAGTTTTTAATTGGTCCTTTATCTTAAATACACACTTTGATGTTCTCTTTATGCCGTCATACCAAAAGGAACTGTTGAGAGAAAAGTTTTACTTTAACATCATTTACAACGCTGCTGTTGTTTGTGAATACAACCAGTCTTCATGGTGTCAGAAACAAAGTCAGAGCAAAAAATCTGGAGTATTAAGCGAGAAGGCCGCTGTGTAACACCATTGCATATCTGGAGATACTTAAAATAATTAAATCTCATCAAGAGAGTATAAAATAGAGAAGTAGTAGTGTTGCTGGAGTTTTGACCTGTTCTTACTTTAAATTAGGGCTGAAACTATACCTCAAGAAACTACAGTAACTCAATTACTAAAAATCATCCATACAACCAATTTGCATCAAGGCTTGGTTTAATTCATATAACTACATACAGCAATATGTTTCACATGGATGATCACTGTGGACAGGTCATGTGAAGACACCTCACAATAGAAGACTTGATTTGATGGCATGGATTGAAAAATGGAGGGAGTAAAAATGAGGGGCGCAGAAAACAGAAAGACCAGAGAAAACAACAGAAAGCGTCAAAGTTTGGGATTATTTCCAGCTGAAACCAAACAAAAACTCTGTACAGTGTGTCTAATACTTCAGCATCTCAACAGAAAGCATTCAGTCCACGAAGCGGACCCAGCACAAGGTAATATTAGCCTTAGCATTTAACGTAAATCAATATGATTGCCAGTTGAGATGAAAACTTAGCTAAGTATGCAGATTTTCAACCAGCTCTGTGTCATTGCAATGTGGAAAGTAATGTTGAATGCAAATTAACAACGTTCAGCTTCCCTTATGGATGGCTTGTGCCTCAAAAGTGTGCCAAATGATGCAAAACCAGAGCTGCGGGCAGCATGAAGGGAAGCCACACACGGTTCAGCTACACAAATTTCCCACACTGTGGTGAGACAGAGCTGCTTTCAAATCAGCAGTTTTTCTTTTGAGAACATAAATCAAAATTGTGGCTGGTAATGCTTTAGTTTCCTTTTTAGAATAATCAACATTATTATTGTTTAAATTGCATACAGTATTTAGGCTCTAATAGCTATTTACACCATCTGATATTTTGGTTTTTGCAGTATTTTATGCATTTCTGTGAGGGGAGTAGGTGTGTGTGTGTTTTTGTGTTAGTGTGACTATCTTAATGATAACTGAATGAAGCTCAGCCTTTCACAAATTGACTGCAAGATTTTATTTTCTGTGATTATGTCCATAAGTTGTAAAGTTTTGCTTAAGAAAATAAACAGAAAATAAAATGCTGCAGTCAATTTATGAAAGGCTGAAGTTGTTCAGTTATTATTAAGAGTCAAGAGTCACACAAGAATATGCGCGCGCACACACACACACACACACTCCCCTCACAGTAATGCATAAAACACCCAAAAAAGCAAAATATCAGGTGGTGTAAATGACTATTGGGGCCTAATTATTGTATGAAATTTAAGCAATAATAATGTTTATTATTCTAAAATGGAAACCAGAGCTTAACTAGCCACAATTCTGATTTATGTTCTCAAAAGGAAAACTGCTGATTTTCAAGCAGCTCAACCTCAAGTAGTGTGGGGATTGTGTACATGACCCGCGTTTGGCGTATCTGGTTTTGCATCATTTGGCACACTTTTGAGGCACACTCTTTATGAGCTTCATCACAACTAGCAATCATATTGATATACATTAAATGCGGAGGTTATTATTACCTTGTGTTGGATCCTGTTGAGATGCTGAAATATTAGACACATTGTACATAGCTTTGGTTTTGTTTAAGCTGGAAATGATCCCAAACTTAAAACACTTTTCTCTGGTCTGTCTGTTTTCTTCACCCCTCACTTTTGCTCTCTCCATTTTGCAATCCATCCCATCAAATCACGCCTATTCTGAGGTGTCTCACGTCACCTGTCTACAGTAATTGTCCATGTGAAACACAGTGCTGTATGTAGTATGCAATTTAAGCAACAATAATGTTGATAATTCTAAAATTAGTTGTTCATTTAAGAGACCTTTGTTATTTTCTCTCTGCTCTTTAATATAGAAAAGTATTTAAAAGTAAATACATAAGCAAAAGTATTTTACTCGATTAATGGATGGATTAATCAGTAGAAAACCCAATTACTATAGCAATCGATAGCTGCAGCTCTACTTTACATGCTGACATACAGTCTCCACTGCTGATGAGCTTAATTGCATCCTGTGGATGTGTAGCAATAATGTCTGAGGACAAGCACAACTGATGCTTCTAAGCACTGCAGGAAAGACAAGGTAGCCACCAGGCACAAGCAAACATGGAATTAAAAGCAAGCATATCACAAGCCTAACCTGGTGAGGTAGAAGTGCCACAGGGGTTTCTCTGGCTCAATCCTCCTGGGTGAGAGGTGGTCAAGCTCCATGCCCACCTGTGGGATCCCCACTGTGGTGTTGATAGACAAAGGCTCAGCGATCCAGCGGCTGTGGGCGTGAACCATCACCAGGCCCAGAGACTGTGTACAGAGCAGACATTAAAAATCACACTCATGTTCAAATCCAGGCAAAGAAACAAATAAATCAAGAGAGGTGTTACCATGATCATTTTGACTCTCTGGGTTACAGGGTTGGGTTTGTTGTCCTCCTCCTCCTCCATCACTCTGGAGAAGTGGCTCAGCTGCCAGATAGGATGGCCCTCCTGACTCTCCCGGGACAACTATACGGGCCAACACAAAACACATTAATCAAAATGACATTAACACACACACGTACACACATACAATGAAACACTGTAGCCTTACCTCCAGCACCAGTGACACACATGCAGGGAAGAAAGTCATGAACACAAAGTAGTTGGCCAAGACAGACATGCAGCCAAAGCAGCACATGATCTCCAACTGCCGCACACCTGAAAGATAAAGGACAGATACTTTTATTTCATTCATCTTGGTCAGCTAAATCCAAATAGGCCATTGTTTGCATAAGAGTCTGGTTGGATGGATGGGCCATTTTAACTGATATGGTGTCAGCAGGGTTAAGGTTAGAGCATTAAATTAGTTTGTACAATATATGAGAGAAAAGTGTAGCTGTTCCAAAGACCTGAAGGTGGATTGCAAAGGGAGGTGCAAGACATGGGGAGTTAAAATTAAAAGAAGATTCAAATCCTACTTACTTTTTCACATCAACACACCTTGACAATTGTTGCACGAAGTTAGCATACTGAAGCCTCAAAATTCTGTTATGTCTCCCTCAACTCCATTAACGCTTCATTTTGCTTAAGCGGCAACCTCCAGGGTGGCCAAAAACTGTGGTTCCTCTAATGGCCACATGAGGCTGGCTCTAAAGCAAGTCAGTAGACCCCTATGTTAAAATGTCCAACTTTACAGCAGAAATGAACACGTTTTCAGTCTGGTGCAAAAAACAGTTTTGGTCTCTATAGCTAATCTCCCTGCTCATAATAACTCAATATTTGTATAACTGACCCATTTAAATGTTATTAAGGCTTTAAGTGACAGATGAGGGCCATCTGATGAAAAGTCATGACCACAGCAACAACTTTGGTTAGGTAACGTAACTATTGCATAACCCCAGATTCACACAGTATAGGCATAGTGTGTTTTCAGTTCATGAAAGTTAATTTGTTCACGGAAATTAATTGTAATGTTTTGTTCATCTCAAAAGTCTTGATCAGTGTTTGGTTGTACTAAAAGACCATCTACAGAGTTGGATATTCAGTTTTTCTGGTAAGTACTGTTTTTTTTTGTCATTTTAAACCTGTTTTTCGGTTGCAAAAACTAGCATTAGCATTATCACAGTTAAACATAGCTGTCAATGCACCATGCTAACCAAGCTAGCAGCTATCGTTAGGATTATCTTTACCCTCTTGTCCAAATACAGTCGCTTCTGGCTCCAAAAACCCAAGATGGCAACGGCCAAATTGCCAACCTCAAAGCTTCAAAGTAGGTGTCCACAAACCAATGGGTGACATTACACTGGCTATGTCCATTATTTTATACAGTCTGGGATCTGACTCACAACCAAATTAAGCAATCCTAACAAGGGTTACAGGTACTGTTCTGTCCTGTCTGGCTGAACGCCTGTTTCATCTCTGTAACCACGCCTGACAGTGATGTTATGGTGTAACAACAACAGGAAAACTAGGAATGGCAGCAAGTACCTGACATGGTTCCCACTCCGATCACTAAGCACTCCACCAAGGCATCAAGCGTGAAGGTAGGTCCCAATACTGCCATGCCACGAGCAATGTTGTCTCTTACTTCATCCTGAAAATGTTATAGTGTGTATTGTAGTAGTCAGGGCAACTGTTGGATTTCCTGTGGCATGTTGCAATGTGATCAGTAAATATTTTGTCATACCTGAGAACTAGAGCTTAAGGCAAACTTGGCGAGAGCGCATGCTTTTGAGAGGTCGATGAGAAGCAGGAAGAATGGCAAAGCCTCACTGGAGGACAGAACAGAACAATCAACTGGGGTTTTAACAGAGATTCTGCTAAGAAAGCACTGTAAGCTGAGTGTGTCCTTACTTGAGGCCTGTGAGCTCTTTATCAAGAAAGTGAATGACCACTGTGCTGAATACGAAGCTGGAGAATATGGTGAAGAGGCCTGCAATACCTGCAAAAGAGCAGATGAGATACATTTTAGCTATTTCTTGCTAGTTAGGTCAAAGAATCCACTCCCTTTACAGCATCTTAGTCACATCTAAGCATCTTATAAACAGCTCAAGTATCCATCAATATTTTACCTAAAATATATTTGGACCCCAGTTGTCTCAGGTTCTGGAACTGGAAGTAAATATATACGATGGCGATGCAACGTGTGATAGTCAGGATGATGATATCACTGCTCAGAATTTGCTGTAAGGAGATAAAAAATCTTATCAGTGTACACAGACATTCATTAGAAATATATAGTGAAGTAAAGGATAAACCTCAATCAAAGACTTAAAGGATAAGTTGGACATTTAGGGAAATACCCTTATTCACTGCCATGCTAAATATAAAGTTACAGCCAGCAGCTGGTTAGCTTAGCTTAGCGTAAAGACCTAAAATAGCTAAAAACAGCTAGCCTGGCTTTATCCAAAATCCTCCTAGCAGTACCTCTAAAGCTCACACTAATTAACCTGTTAACCACATTTGTTAAATTTCTGTGTGTAAAAACATGATTTTTCGTAAGGTTATGTGCCAGGCTATTCCTTGGTTAGCAGTCTCACAACTCACTGGCTCTTGTCTAACTGGGATAAAGCCTCTAGGGGCGAGGGCCAACATCTCTGGAGATCCGGTGTAGCAAGCAGATACCTGGGCCAAGACTTCCTCCTTCATGCACACATGGGAGAAGTTTACCTAGAGGGCTTCTGCCAGAAAGAGTTTTCTGGCAGAAGCCCATTAGCCCATTTTTGTCCACATTAAGAGTTTTCCCCCCTAACCTTAACCAAGAAGTCCCCTTCTGTCAGAAAACCCTCCAAGTGAATTTTTCTGTCAGACATTTCAGCTAATCTTTATAAACAACTCTGTGTATGAATACAAAATGCACTAAAAAACTAACATAAGCTAAAGCTCTGAGATAGCATTTTGGTGCACATGTGAGAAGTTTTCCTTGTAGGCTTTCTCCAAGAAAGCCCTTTTTGACAGAAATTTGTTCATTTTTACCCAAACTACAACTTTTTTCCTAACCTTAACCAATAGATTCCTTTCTGGTAGAAAACCCTTAAGGAAAATTTCCCCCCACTGCCGTTTTGGCAAGTTCCTCTTCATACAGACAGTTTACAGTTTGCATAAATGCGACTGGGTAATACTACTCGGACTTCAAACGGAAACCAGTATGCCTCTGCCTCCAGTAAGAGATAAGGTGCCAGATGAGAAATCAGGGGATTGCTAAAGAAATATGGACACATGCTTGAGTGTCTGTACCAAGTCTAATGGCAATCCATCTGGTAGTCATTGAGATATATGGAGTAACGTGGTGGCTCTACCGCTGCTAAAAATGCTTTATAGGAGTCCTAGCAATTGGTCATGACAATGCATATTAATTTTTAGTGGCGATAACATACTAGTCAGGGCTGTGTGGTTAGTTAAAGTATTTACCTAATGTAAGCATGACATATAATTTGAATTACAAGTGGGAGGACTGTCCTGAGGCTCTTTCAAACTACATTGGTGGCCTACTTTACACCGTGGTGGATTCTCTACTACAGATAACTGACATATTCTCAACCATCTCATTCATTTACTCACCTCCTCTGTTTTGGGGCAGTCAAAGTTCCAGCCACAGATCTGGTCATTACCAGTGAACATGTTCATGGACATCATACAGATGGTGAGGGTGACTGTGCCAACAATCACCTCCCAGGGGTGGGAGGCCACCAGGAGGCCATGCATACGGAACAGACGGGTCAGCATGGTGCAACAGAGCTACCAAATTACACAAGGAGAGTAATGTAAGCTGGAGATGACTGTACACCATTACATAACAAGAGGAAGAAACAAGAGCATCCACAATGGGAGCAGGTCAGGTCAGTGATCACAGAAAACATCACTATGCCATTTTATACTTCAGCTCCACAAGTCAAGCTCAAGGGGAAATATTGTACTTCAATTTCATCATTATATAAAGACAAATCACAATTTTTATTTTTATTTTTTATATTATTTTTCGGGGCTTTTGCCTTTAATTGACAGGACAGTGTGAAATGGGGAGAGAGAGAGAGAGAGTGGGGGGGTGACATGCAGCAAAGTGTTGCAAGCCAGAACCGAACCTGCGACCGCTGCAGTGAAGCATCGCCTCTGTACATGGGGCGCCTGGGGCTATAATCCGGCATATTTACATGCAAATGTTCATTAATGTGTACTGTTGCTTCTAACTTAAATAAATAAATAAATATCCATTACGCTACTGGTGCCCCAAGACAAATCACTATTTTAATCAGAGGAATGAAATAGTATTCTTAAATTAGTACGCTTCATTAATGTGAACTTACCAAGATAATGGCCTATAACACTGATTCCCAACTGGTGGGTCACGGTCTAAAAGTGGGTCACAGGTTTCACTGAATGGACCGCAAGTGACTCGCGAATGGGTCTAGTTTGTAAAAAACATACTTTCTTTTTGAAGTACAGTGAATTTACGGCAAAAGCTTTTATTTTGAAGTGCTGTTTCCTGCTGCAGAGTGAGTGAATAGAATAACAGCTATTTAACAGACACAGCAAACTAGCTTGAAGACATGGCCAAACACAAGGATGACCCTGAATATATTAAACTTTGTGGACCTTGAGGTAATGTCTAAGGAGCAATTCGGACCCCGTGGCTGGACATGTTGGGAACCACTGGCCTGTAATGTATTAGGCCTACTTACATTCAATTAGTTACTTTAAATACTTTAAATATTTTAACTGCATCAGGTGCAGTGGTGTAAAGTAGTTACGATGGGCTCCAATGCACGCTATTATGATGGGCCCTAGGGCACGCTATCATGCACATATCGTCTCATCATATGGTCAGAGACTTGACATTGGATAACATCAACATACATATTACCCACCTATCATCATGGCATATCTGTATATAACAAAAAATACCAAAGAAAATAAGAAATTGAGATATTATTAATTTAATTTAAGAAATTCAATAGCTGATTTATAAAATAGTTTATTGATAGTTATACAATATTTGATTTATAGAACAGTTGATTTATAGTTATAGAATAATCATTTAATTTTGTTATAAATGCTACTGACTATTTTACAAAAAAAAAGAAAAAAGAAACATGACAGAAATTGGTTTGCCTTTTTTAAGGGAATATATAAAAAAGGCCACTGTTTTTAATTTAATGAGAGTTCTTCTTTGAACACAGGCATATTTCCAAGGTGGCAATCACTCATACGGACCCATTCTACACCCAAGTAGGCTATGGACCCCCCACCTCACGGGCGGCAGTGCAGCTACACTCCCTGCATTGATCATATTTATGCCCCTGGTCAGGTGGGTCAGGTGTAATAGCCTAATCATGTCGCTCTCAAAATTAAAATAAAAAAAACACGTAATAGGCTAATTATAGTACTACCAGCACTACTACTACTAGTCTAGTAGGAAGGGGGGGTCCCCATGGTCACGGTGGATTTCTAAATGAAACCTATATTTTTAAAATGTATGTCTATGCGTAATTGGCTTTTCTTTGCAAAATTTAGCAGAAAAAATATGAAAAAAGCTAGTTTTGTGCCTGACTTCATCCCGACTTGCTCTGACGTATTACAAAAGCGGACGGCGATAAAACCGCGAGAGCGAGGCAGCCGCAGTTTTTAGAGCCAGGCGCTGCAGTTGCTCTCCACCGACTGCACCGCCTGGCTCTCACCTGATCTATCAGCTGATTGGTTAAGATGTCGACTCAACAATATGACGTTTTAGATAAACTACTCATTTTTGTTGAATTTTAGAGATTAAGATTGTATTTGTCTGATTTGAAGGTTTATTCTGTGAACAGAAAATATGTTGTGTGACTGATGGTGAAATTTAGTTGTCAGAGACTGAAAATATTCATCATAAACTATACAGAGTCTACTGTACTATATTAATATTGGACGGTTTAATTATTGAAGTATTTAGCAACACAGAGACTTGTGGTCAGTGGGATGTGAGGATTCTTAAACTAACATCTGATGTGAAGCCCTGACTGTATCTGACTGAGCCTTAATGAAAGCTGTTGTCTTGTATTTTTTTCCCTCTGAAAATATTAACCTTATAGTCAAACACAGTTTATTCAGCCTGTGTAGTTGAGGGGACAGGTCAAACTGATATGATGCTGATTTACAGGAGAATTCATATCAAATGGAGGATAAACCATGAACATAAACTACAGATCACCTGTAAAGCATTTTAATAAATTAATCTATCATAATTAAAACAATTTGAGACTGAAAACAAATTGATATATGGGTCTGATCACTTTTTTAATGAATTGACATCATTCCAGACAGGATGTAAGTGTGTCTGTGACTTGGTTCATTAATATATGTATGATGTATGATTCAAGAGTTATGGTTATCCCTCATTTTGACCTGTCTATCACAAATTTGGGAGTAGACATAGCTCCAACAGTCTCCCAGACTTAATTTTTTTAGTTACAGCAACATGTAACCAATCAAATGAAAGCTTAGAGTGCTGGGCAGTTTTCTATAGCTATTAAAAAGCTGATGTTTCTCACCAAATACCGACAAATTGGGAAGATTTCCTATAGGTCATAGCTTTTTTCATATTTTTTCTGCTAAATTTTGCAAAGAAAAGGCAATTACGCATAGACATACATTTTAAATCATTAAAATAACCATTTTAATTGATTTCTCATGCTTAATTTATGCAAAAAAGATGGTTTATTTGTCTCTGTACAATATATGGTTCAAAAGTTGTGGATACATTTGACTTTTAATTTTTTCCATATATTCCGATTGACGGAATTCGAAATTCCGCCGGAATTCCGAGGACTACCCTTTTTCGCGATCATCAAACATCAAAATTCATTATCTACAGACCTTCACGATTCCAAAAATATAGGTTTCATTTAGAAATCCACCGTGACCATGGGGACCCCCTCTTCCTACTACTAGACTATACTACTTATACTACACTACTACTACTACTACTACTACTAGGCCTACTACTACTACTACTACTAATAATAATAATAATAATAATAATAATAATAGCCTAATAATAATTTATTATCACCATTAAATTCTTAATTACTCCCGTCGTTGCTTTAAATAAGGCATTAACATATGACCTTTTTGAGAAAAAGAAACATCAGTAAATGCTGCTAATTTGTTCATGCTGGTGATTAAACTGACACGTTAAAGCCAATATCCTGTACAGTGCGCAGCGGCGGCTGCAGCCGGTTCTATCCAATATATCACTCCGCTGGATGCGTTAACGGAGCGGCTTTGTAGAGGCTATTATCCCCGCTCCGCTTACTGTCTACTTCTGATGTACCGAAGCGCGTCCTAGGTTGAATTCACTTCTCAATGTTGCCTATAGGCTAGGCCTATATTTACTGGCAACTAACATAAATGCATTTATTTGAATAGATACACAGACTTACCTTAGGTGGGTAAATTGATGATTACTGAGAGAGAGATGTGATGGTGTCTTGAGTGCAGCCTCCCGGTGTGAAGCACAGAAAGCCGGTCTCACCGACACACCGAGTGGCTCCTCCGCACTCCAATAGGGCAGATGGAACGATGGCACGCTACTACATCATCCGACACGTCAGCCAATCACGTCAGTCACCTGCTTCACCAGCGCATTATCCACGCCCCGTTTCCTAGGCGACAGCAGTAATGGGGGCATGGCCAGAGCGAGAACGCCTAATCTCGCCACCACACACACTCAGAAGGTGTTGCACAGTGGGAGTGGGCTGGCCCCTGCGGGAGCTATTGATGCTTCGTAGACTGGTAGTGTAAAACACAGGTTTTATGCTACGTTGTTGGGCTTTTGTCACGCCAAGTCGTAACTTTTTTATGTCATTATAACAACTTATAAGTTAGTAGCAACACTTCACAGTACTGTGTGGGCTACAAATGCTCCATAAAATCACGGAATGGTATGGACGTGATATGATGTGAACACCTGTTTTCAGAGCGATGGAACGATGGAATTGCTGGAATTTTAACAGGGTCTGAGCCCATTTAAACATTTAACAGTTGCTCTATTTCATGTTGCATGGGATCATGTTATGACTACCTGTATTTTCAGTGTGGACTTCTTATTTTAATAAGTAGGTTGCATTGCATTTTCTACATGTGGGCTTATGCACAGAGTACTCAGCAAAGTTCTGCAGAAATGAGCTTTATAATGTGCATTTAGCATTTTTTTTGTGGATGGGATTCTCCCAGCATTTCAAGTACAGTGCCTATTCAGACGTTTGATGGCATAGGCTATCTGTTTTGTTTGTTCACAGTGAGGCTAAAAACATCTGAGGATGATTTAGGTTCAAGGCTGAACACAGTGATCCACTATCAAAGTCCAGAAATTGCACATAAGAGATATGCTGTTCTGCCCTTTTCAAAGTCTGTACACATGGAAGGATAGAACTGTAGCCTACCACAGTGGATGGACACAAAAGAACATAACTTTTATTCAGTTACTAGTTCTGTACAAACCAACAGTATACAAAGTGTACCACTGACATAAGAAATTGTATGTTTTTCAAATGTATGTATTTTCAGGTTTTCTGTTGTTATAAACAAAAATGTTTGGTGTTGGGTAATAGTACCAAAACTAAAGGTATAACACATCAGAATATCCTCTTAAGAGGTGTTTTATTGAAAAGATTGACCCCAAAAAACTAAGGAGAAGACACTAAATATGTTGGATAAATGTACATTGAATATTAACATGCTTTTACTGAGACCACTGTAAATGTTGAAACTTTGCTTTTTACCTTGAAAAAAAATGTTCCACTGAATTCATGAATGTATAGCCTACTTTTATCATTTGATGCAGGAGGGTATTAGGACCAATACAAACTGTGAAACATTACTATTGTAATGTCTCCAAGATCAGGCACTTCCGGTGGCTATTTATTTGATGCAGCTGCCACTGACCTGGTTTTACAGACCTGCCGCGGCAACTAAAGCAGTTTGACGTTAACTGCAGAGGTGCTACAATGAATTTCTTTTTTTTTCTTTGAAAGATAGAAATAGAACATGTTTTTATAACACTGCAGACTCATCATTTCACTGGTCTGAACACCATTAGAAATATTCAATCATTATTCTCAAAAAGATGTCTGTGTTGATTTTGGTAGCATTTGAAATAAGAGAAAGGAGATATAGAGATATCAGATTGAGGGACTGAGGCACCATGGGCACCGGGGGGACAATATAATTTATATGCTCAGAATTTCTTCTCTCTCTCTCTCTCTCTCCCTATATATATATATATATATATGTGTGTGTGTGTATATATATATATATATATATATATATATATATCTCCAAACGAGGGCCATTCATTCAGTCATTATTATTTAATTCTGAGTGAGCCTAGTTCAAATGACCATGAACATGTTCCCCCAAAATATAATCACACATATATGACTAAATTACTCACCATGTTTTGTAGCCTACAGTTCTTATATCGGGCTTGAAATGCCACGGACAGATAACGTCTGGTCCACGTCCTAAATGCTGCTCTGACAAAAACAGGGATCACCCCTTTGATATAATTCAGTTGACAAGTACATTTCTGAAAAATAATTATTTTAGTAGGCCCTACTTACCTTGCCTTTGATGCTCCATATCTCCTGCCGCCTCCTTTTTTACGAATGTTAACCAAACATGTATATGTTTCAAAAAATTCAGTGACTTCAAGGCAGGACTATTTGTACATATAGGGCTACTGTACTAGAGCTGTAGTCTCCTGGTCGACTAGTTGATCGTTTGGTCGCTACACTCTCATCCGACCAAATTCTCATTAGTCGAATAATCGCTGTGTTACTTTCATAAGGAGAAAAGTGCTACATCAATAGCTTTCCAGGATTAATCCATTATTTCCTGCGGCGGGGGACAGGCTAAGTTACCGAGTCAAGCCATAACTTTATTGACAGAAAGTTGGATTCGCCCACCATCAGGCTCAGCTTCATGGTAATGCAGACCTCCTGTCTGTTTCTGTAAGCTGAGACCAATTCCCTCAGTGGAAATGTGTATTTGTATTTGCTTGTATTTACTTGTATTTCACAGATGAGAAACAATAAATTGTGAAGACAGTAAAGCCTCCACTAAAATAGCATTTTAAATCTTGTGTGTTATTTATCCTTCAGGGATTTATCCTGGCTTCATATGAGCAGAGGAAATCTCTGCTTGTCGCTAGGCTAATGTATATGGGGTACCGTTTGTAAAGTGGCTCACGCTGAAAATAACATCAACATTTTGCCACATTTAGCTTCTTACTTCTTACTTGAACATACATTAACGTGAAAATAACTACCTAAAATAACAAGAAACGTGTTTCTAACCGTTAGCTGTTAGCCCCGTTAGCGGTGTCTGTAATGACTCACTAACTCTAAACGGTCCGTGAAAAAAATATTTTTTTCCAGTGGATGTCTTAGTTACAACATGATTGAGCTAACTGGAGTAGTTTCATGTCGTATCCGACAACGGGAGACTTTTAACAGATGACGTCCTGATAGCTTTGCTGCTGCTACAGCCACTGATGCTTTCTAGACATCGTGATTTCCCAAAACTGAATAAATACCACACATCGCAACACAAAACTGCTTTGCTAGCTCAATCATGTTGTAACTAAGACATCCACTGGAAAAAAATATTTTTTTCACGGACCATTTAAGAGTTAATGAGTCATTACAGACACTGCTAACGGGGCTAAGAGCTAACGGTTGTTAGCTTAGCTTAGGTTGTTAATCCCTCCGAAGGGACACTAACAAATCAAACTACACGTCAAATAAAATTTCTCCAAACATGTTTCTTGTTATTTTAGGTAGTTATTATTACGCTAATGTATGTTCAAGTGTTCATTTCCCCCGATAAGTTGGTTTTAATTCGTTATTTGATTCTATAAACACAGTCTGACCATCTCAAGCTTTTATTTTGGTACTTCCGGTGACCGGCAGTGTGAATTTGCATATTAGCTAAATATTTAGTTTCACCCAGAACATTTAGATTTAACATTTAACATTTATATTTAGCATATAAATATTTATATTTAGCATTTAGATTTAACATTTAGATTTAGATTTAGATTTAATATTTAGATTTAGATTTAGCATTTAGATTTAACATTTAGATTTAGATTTAATATTTAGATTTAACATTTAACATTTAGGTGCCACATTTAATATTTAGATTTAACTATTTAATATATTTCTAAGTTAACAAATATTGCTGTAAATGTGGTAAAAGATGATGTTAAAAAATTCACAATACTTTTTTAAACATTGTTTGAAGCTAAATGTGGCAAAATGTTGATGTTATTTTCAGCATGAAACACTTTACAAATGGCACCCCATAAATGTATACAGTATTACAGAGCTAATAACGTTAGCATGTTGTATTTGCTTGGAAAACGTGTTTAGTATAAGACAGTTGTTTTGTTGGTGAATGTTGTGAGTTGTAATGGAGCCACATTGTGTGCCATTACCTTTGTTAAGTGTTGCCGTTGTCCCCGGTTTTATATGAGAAGAGGAAAAGATCGCTAGATGCTGGGCTAGTTTATTCAATGTAAAATGCAATAGACTTGTGCTAATAACGTTAGCATGTTGTATTGGTGGGGGAAATGTGTCCAGATAAAGACAAGTGTATGTGTCAGTTCTGAGATTTATAGTGCAGCCAGTTTGTGTACTTGTGTTTGAAATTGTCTCTATTAAGCCATATTTAATGTGTGTTTTGAATCAACTATACAAATAAAGTTTGATTTGAACTAAACTTTACAGCACTTAACACAGTCCTCCACCGCCGACTAGTATTTTGGAGGTGTAACTGCAGAGTGACACAGACATACCACTGCAAAAGTAAAAATAACGTGCAGATTTTTTTTTTCCACAACTATTTGATTAGTTGAAGATTATGTGTGACTTCAGTCGACCAAGATTTTCTTTGGTTGACTACAGCCCTAGTATTTACGTCTACTTATGTCATAACACAGGCCTATAGACGACTTTTCAAATGTGACTGTTAAAAGTGACTACACACAAATCTGGCAACCATTAAAATATTTATTTTGTCAATAGACTGTAAACTGTATTAAAATTAGTAATGAAAAGTGTTGACATTTTATTGAGTTTAAAATTTGCAGGGTGGGACATAGTAGGCCTATGTTATGAAAATGTGTAACTCATGCATACAAGTTGCTTCATATCAATACAATGATAATAATGCCACACATAACCAAACTACCAACTCAAAGTGGGGGGCAGGGGCAGTAGCGAAAATGAGAGGATGTGCCCTATCAGCTGCCCTCTTGAATGATGAAAATGAGCAGATGTACCCTTTTGGCTGCCCTCTTGAGTGGTGAAAATGAGAGGATGGCCCCACTGTTGCCAACTCCTCAGTAAGAAAAGTAGCTATTGGCTGTCCTAAAAGTTGCTAGAAGTCGCTAAATGACATCATCGCCTAATTTGCATAATGGTCCATATGCATGTAATTGTAATGGCTGCTGTAGGAGAAAGGAATAACGTCGTGGAAGAGACAAAAACTGAGTAAAAAAACAC